GCTTCAATAAATTTTTTTTTTTTTTTGGTGTGTGTACAAAAAGGGTTTTAAAATATTTTCCATGTGTAGAACGTTTTTAGCATCTTTGGCTAACTAGTAGTAGCAAGTTTTGTACCCTTTCGGCATATATTTCTTTGCATAAATTATCAACCCGAAGAAGGAAATGAGCTTTTATGGCTGGTACCTGGTATGTTATTGTTAGGTGGCGCGACTAAACACTTCCAGAAATAAATAAATAAATAAGTTATGTGTTTATGGTGCAGATAGCTAGTGAGAAGTTTTGTAGCAGTAATTATATAAAACCAAAAAAAAAAAAAAACCAAAAGTGTTGAATTTTACCAATATGGGTCATCGGTTACTTTCTTCCACTATTGATAAGAAAGAGTTGAATGCGGGTTGAAGTCAGAGAATAGCTGAATTGACCATTCAAGCGGTAAGCATGGGAAAGAAAGTGGAATAAATATCAAATATATTTTTAATTTACGTTCATGAACTTGTTCACCAGCATTATTAACTCTAATGCCATGGCCATGGTTAATCAGGATTTCGTGTACTGCTGGCCCACTGGCCTAAAATTTTGTTTATGTTTGGATGCAAGTCTAAAGACAAAAAAGTTTGCATCGGAGTGTGCCGTTCGTTTGTAGAATAGAAAAGCGTTTTTTCTTACTATATCTATAAGTTAAGCGTTATCTAAAAAAGAAGTGGTGCGAAGTATTCATTTTTTTCCTTCAAGAAAGAAAGAAAGAAAAAAAAAAGGTGATTAAACAGGCTTTGCAGAGCAGCCCGGTAGGAAGTTTCTTGCATACATTCCATGGACTATTACTAATACAAATATGTAGTAATCAGTCCACTAATGTTGTATTGTAGTACTATCCATTCAATTTTGCCGTCTTGATAATAATAAGGAATCAAATTGTCCAACTGCAAATTTATACTGCTTCACACAAAACTTTGACTGGATCAGAATGACACTTACCCATTAACTTGGACATGCTTGGATTACTTGTTTCCGTCGGAAAATATTGTCGTTTTTCGTGATCACATTTTCCTATCACCTTTTTCTCTCATATATATCAAATCGCTACAGCAATTTTTCCATGAAAAATGATGGAAAATGTAATCCAAACACAACCTTATTATACTAGTACAACAGCCCCAGAACTCATTAGCTCGCGAACCGATTCGACCTCGATTACATATACATATATATATATATTATTTTTTATTTTAATAATAAAATTACATATATATTTTTAATATTTTTAATATTATTTAAGAAAAATAATTATTTTATTTATTTTTTAAAAATAAAATAATTATTTTTTATTTTTTAAAACTCGAACTCGAGTTTGATATTTTGAACTCGTCGAATTTGAGCGCAAGTTCGAATTTCGTAAAATTATGCCGAGAATAGACTTGAAATGTCAAGTTCAAATTCGATTTCGAGTTTCGTAAAATTATATCGAAACTCTGTTTAATTAGGTCGAAACTCGAGTCGATTCAACTTATTTGTACCCCTAATTCGACTTCGACCCATCAAAATAGAAAGGAATAAAAGCCTTTCATTCCGACTCATATTTATGCAGCTGTTCTGGTAATTTTGGTGCCCCCCGGCCCCAACTCCATGACGACTAGACTCCGCCGCCGTGCGTCATTTTGACTCACGTGGCCCGAAACCGAAAGGCCTCCCCTTGGCCCTGAAATGAAATCCTAACTCTCCTAGTGTAAGCGTGTAACCTCCACACACTCACACTCCATGCATGACACGAGTGTTGCAGGACTCGGCAGTTTTTTTGTCTTACGTGGGTGGGGTCAATGGTCAAGTTGCCCGAGGGGGTACACGAATGCATCTGATGCCACAACAACGTTGCCGGGACATCCCCTCTTTGCCCAAAATCCAGTAATCTATGACTATGACCTTTTTTTTTTTAATAATATATATTTTTTTTTAAAAAAAGAAAAAGAAAAAGATAAGATGTTCTCTGGTAGTACTTTCGGATTATCCATTTTTCACGAGTATATAAAGGGGGAGGTCGGCGTCCTAACTTCGTCGAACACCCAAATTTGGCATCTCCACTGGTAGTTGCTGCTAATAAGCTATATAGAATTCAAAAGAATTCATTCGAAATTCAGAAATGGAGGCTAATAGGTCGTTATTCCAATTTCACGACTCTATAATTTTAGATTGCCCCTTCGAATCATCATCTTCATTTGATTCACCCCAACCGCAATCGCATTCTTTCACCCCATCATCATCATCATCATCATCATCGTTATCAACATCATCTTCGTCATCATCATGGGATGAGGTGCTTTTCCAGCACAATTGCGATTTTCTTCCCTTCAATTTCAATGACTCTCAAGACATGTTTCTTTTCGATGTCCTGGCCGAGGGAGCAGGAGCCTCTGCCAGAGATGCTTCTTTGAGACAATCCTCCTCGGAAACCAACTCCAACTCCAACTCCAACTCCAACTCCTCCGGCGGCGGCGTTAGGGAGGAAGAGGTGACTTCCAACGTCACAAAAGAAACAAACAAGGAAAAGAGTTACAGAGGAGTCCGCAGGCGGCCGTGGGGAAAATATGCAGCTGAAATCAGGGATTCCACGAGGAAGGGAATCCGGGTGTGGCTCGGAACGTTCGATAGCGCCGAAGCTGCTGCTTTGGTGTACGATCAAGCTGCATTTTGTATGAGGGGTCCCATGGCCGTGCTCAATTTTCCTGTGGATGTGGTGCAAGAGTCCCTTCGTGATATGAAATGCGGTTCTGAAGGAGGAGGAGGAGGGTGCTCTCCCGTGGTGGCACTGAAGCACAGGCATTCAATCAAAAAGAAAAAATCCTCAATTAGGAATCACAAAATTGCACGAGAGGCGGCAGCCAAGGTAGAGAATGTGGTTATATTGGAGGATTTGGGAGCTGAATATTTGGAAGAACTATTAAATTCATCATCAGAAATCCCTGCTGCCCTGTGACTCTCTCTGCTGTACCGCTCAAACAACAACAATTCCTTCTCCGTTTGTACATAAATTTGCTCCTTTCCTTCTTTTTTTTTTTCTTTTCTTTGAAAAAAGAGAGAACCTTTTCTTTTTCCAGTCATTTCTGTTCCCTCTGAGGATGTGTGATTTTTTTCTTTTCCTTTTGTTTTAAGAAAAAGGCGATCAGCGTAAAGTAATTACTACTAATTAATTACCAGTGTTATATTCTGGGCCCGTTCATCCATTTTGATTCTGTCTTCGGCTGTACAGTTGGACGCCATGTACTCGTGCGGCCCGGCCCGTATGCGATTTTTCAGGTCTAACGAGATTGGGATTGGAGAATTTTGAGGATGGGTTCAAATTAATCCCACCAAATCTAACATATTGTCTTTTTCTTTTCTTTATATTCTTTGTTAACCTCTAATTTTTTACTACTTCTTAACAATGGACAAATTCTCCCGAAAAGAAATTGGTACTTATTTGATATCACCAACTTTTTTATGCTCACATCATGTGCCCAAAGGACCGTTGCAGAGGTTTTGCGAGCAAAGTGATGGAAATTTCTGGCGGATCTCAATAACCAACTAATCTTGTTTTAGACCCAACAATAAATTAACTAAGATTCTGATACATTTTTTTTGTTTCTTGTGCTAAATTCGACAATTCCTAAAAGTCTCTGACGTTGTACACCGTCTCACTTGTCGGACAATTATTATTATTATTATTTTTGCAGGTCCCAGTCACTTTTCAAATTTCCTCCTCCTATAATTTTGTTTTAATTATTTTTCTTTTACCGTCGGAAGCTTTTTGGTTGGCCTTAAGTCGTCAAGTATGATGATTTATATATATATATATATATATATATATATACAGTATATGATGTGCAATCGTAATTTCTTTCGGTGTTGTCACTTTTTATTCTCCTTCCATCTAGATTATCGGCCCAATCGTTGACTCACGGCACCCATATTTGGGGATGCCGTTGTTGGTCCAAAGAAGACAAGGTGTTAAAGTTGAAGAACTGTTTTAGCGGCCTACTCTGAGGACCAAGCACACATGTCTCTCATAGAAAGTTGGGTTGGGCTTACCTTCAAGTATGCCAGGAGCGACAACCTCTCTGGGTTCTAAACACTAGTAATACTTCTATTTTAGGAGGCGAACAATAAAGCTCATTCCATTCCAGTCCAGGTCTCCCACAAAATCAACACTAAACAGTAGCAACATGATATCTCAGCTAGTTGAGAGTCCAAAAATTCCATTAAAAAAAAAAAAAGCTACCAAAACCCTTGATATTTGATTCAGTTGAACAAAGTCTGGTATTGTGCTGATGTTTATCGTATCATGGAACACGGTAACTGTTTTCCATTTGGGGTTCCAAATCCAAATGACGAAAGACTCTAGAAAAGGCATCCGTAGGTGAACCCAATAAGGTTCACGGTGGGGATGACAAAGTGAAAATGTTCACTCAAACCATTAATTGTTCAAGAATGCGATGAATCTTTCTTAAGTTTTGAACCGCATATTCATCTAAATCATGGTTTATAATCATACTAGTATGATTTGTCTGTTTTTTTTTGCCGCAACAATAACATTTATATAATCTATTCTAACCTAATCTAAGAGAAAAGGGAAGATGAAATTTTTTGGAGAAAGCCACAACTAAGTGGCAAGGTGGGAGGCAAGGGTACAAAGACTTAACTTTGACCTCCCACCCCACCAAGACTTAAGGTCCTGTTTGGATTGTCATTTTTTGCCGGAAAATTGTGTCGTTTTTCGTGATCACATTTCCCTATTATCTTTTTCCTTCGCGTACTTCAAATTGTTACAGTAATTTTTTCATGAAAAATGCAATCCAAACGGGCCTAAATGTCTGTCTTGGTGGCCCAAGAGGCTGTTGGCTAGTATAATTTGTTATATGCGAGCCACGCTAGGAGGAGGATGGTACGGGTTTGACCAAAATCACAGCAGATGAGCAGAGTCACAGCACTGCGCCTCCCCAGTCTGCAGCAACAAAACACGCAGAAGGCTGTCTGCCCTTGGTCGCTCCCATTTCACTAATCCAACCAGCCTTCTGCGTGTAGCTGCACCTAGTTTGCCGCACACTTGTCCTCATCCAATTACGGAAAGATGCCCTCTGCATTCTGCAATAAAGAAGCAGAAATGTGTAGGAAAATGCCTTGCTCCGCAATTCCTCAGAAACAAGGCTAGCTCATTTGTTCTTCTTCGTTTTCCCCAGGCGCTTCCTGATATTGACTAATTTCTCTTTCTCATGGATAAGGCGAAATTAGCGCCCGTGCACGCAGCAATCGACCTCGAACCAGACAAAGAAGTCACCTCCAGAGTTGTGGATACCTGCTTGGTTGGAAAGATCATCTTGGACTGGCCAGTAGATAAAAGGGATGTCAAATGCATTGCTTCCTTCCAATGGAAATGCAAAAAGGATTTCAGCGTTTCCTACGTGGATCGCAACACCTTCATGTTCTCTTTCCAAGGCAAAGAAGATTGGAGAAAAGTTCTCCTCGATGCGCCTTGGAATATCAAGGGGGGACTTCTCATTCTCTCTCCCTTCGTCTCTGGCAAAATGCTAGAAGAGCTGCAATTCTCTTTCTCCCCATTTTGGGTTCAGGTCCACGGACTCCCAATCGACTACTTGACGAAGGCAAATGGGCACAAGCTTGGCCAAGTGTTGGGCAAATTTCCGTATGTGGATGGGGATGCGTTCGATGGGAGAGCGTTGGATAGGAAGTTCCTCAGGATTCGTGTAATTTTGGACATTACAAAACCTTTGCTTTGTGGGTTTTGGGTTAGGCGTAGGAGGCTCAGTGATATTTGGGTTGAGTTCAAGTATGAAAAGTTGGGTATTTTCTGCTACAAATGTGGCCGGATTGGGAACCATTACAGAAGCTGCCAATTCCCCGCTAAAAAGGGTAAATTTGGACCCTGGTTACAGGCCGAGCCACCGAGTGATTCTCTGGCTGTCGCTTCCCTTTCCTCTTCCTCTTATGTCCCCGGAAGAGCAACCGTGGTGGCGGCGGCAAGGGACACAAATGCATGCACTACTTTGATCACAGTTCCTTCAAGTTCAGAACCAGAAGAAGACGTATGCCTCCTCTCAAAACGTTTTCTCCATTAAAATCGTCCTGCTAAATTAGAACTAATTAGTACTACTAATCATTTCCAAACTTTTCTTTCTTTCACTCAACAGATTCATCAAGAGATGGAGTCTGAACACATGTACCATGGCAGTTATGCAGATATTTCAGCAAGGTTAAAAAACCATAAACATATTGGCAGTATTTCTTTTGTTGTTCACTGCTATGTAAGCATGTTATCACCAGATCCATGTGCCTTGTGGAGTCATAGAACCCGGAAAAAGGGAGTTAAAAGAAAAAGGAAAAATTGCTGTCAGGAAAGATTTCTAATAAGGGTTTTCGCATTTTGCCCCTGGTCCCGTGTATATGGCTTCATGAACTGATTAATTTCTGTTTAACAGGAATCTCAAGCAAAAGTTGATTGTGAACAGTCTAGATTCGCTGGTCATGGTAGCAAATTGTGCTATGATCTCTTCCCGCCTGGCTGATGCAAGTGCATACGACTGGAGGTTGCTTATGGTGATGGCGGCCTATTTCACATATCTGGTGCTGAAGCTGATTCGCATAACTCAGAGGTCGTGGCTGCTAAAAGCATTCAACCCCCGTCAGCCACCTAATCAAGAGCAGAATCTGATGGCTCTCATGGAAATCTTGATTTTGGTTGTGTTTTTTGCGATGCTGAAATCCTCATAAAATGCTACTATGAACTTTCTGTTTAAGCTTAGTAACGGTCTTACTGTCTGTACCCTGTTTTTGACTTTACGTTTGGCTTCTTCTGGTAAATGAGCTTTTTGCTAACTACGAGTACAAATGTATGTTGAGCTTCAACTTCTTTAGAAAAGGGCTGTCCTGTCAACTTTTTGTAGCTGCTATTAAGCAATCAAAGGAAGAAACTTGTGTTATCTTGTTGAGATTCCCCCCTTTTTTTTTTAAAAAGCGTTTACCGCACACATGATTGGGTTGCATCCCAATCCCCTTTCTATTTATTTGTTGGGTCAGAGAACATGATCCCAATCCCTTTGTTCTTTTGGGTTGGTCAGGCTTCAGGGTTTGGTGGCGTGTCAAAATTAATGAGAAGTTGACCCGGCCCCAATGTTCTGTCCACTTGGTTTCGGTCCAAAGGGGAGATACCCATCCTTTCTCTTCGAAATAGTTGCACCGGAAAAAGCATTTCCTAAGCCCAGTCCTAATATTGCTAAAGTCTGACAAGCTGACCCAAAAGGACTTGTCATTAAGAAGCCCACAAGCCCAGTTGTACTAACTTTGGGTAATGTATATACTAAGTTGGGAGTTTATTTCCTTATATGAATATGATGGTTCATTTTCCTTTAATAGTGCACCACAGTATGAACGACAATCAAATAGTATCACTGTGATATTTTGACTTTGTGAACAAGAGCAGAAGAAGAACCTCGTAGCATGTTTGTTGGTATTAATTTTGGGTGCATGTATTTTGCCGCAATCTAATTTGAAAAAGAACATATCAACTCTTGCCCATAATTATATATTTCGGACTTTTTCATTGAATAAAAATAGAAAAGAATTTCCAGCCTCTTATATTGTCATTTTTTTTGTCCAAAAAAAAAAAAAATAGTATAGTAGCTTTTGTCATTGCGCTATGAGAGCACCAGACATTCACCGACTCGTTTGCATTATGAGCAGTACACATGGCACAATCGTCACAGCGTTTTATTTCGCTACATTCGGGACCCGAGATTAGATAAGAATGGCAGGAGTCGTGTTCGCAGAAAACCCATTTCCAAACAGACTTGCTGGTACTTGAATTAGTCTATGATATTGCATTTTAACAATAGATGTATCAAAACATTTGCGATGATGACAAAATCTAAGGCTTGTTTCTCAAAACATTCGCAGTGGCCGCTTATGAGCTTTCGCTTTCGTCAGGCTTGAGAACTTATATGCTGCTGCTTCTAAGTTCTATCCTTCCTTGGATGTCCGAGCCTTAAAAGGAAAGATAGAAAAAAAAAAAACATGTGAATATATAGTATATAGACCTGCAAATTTCAAAGCTTAGTTAGAACTTAGAAGTTGGAATAGGCATCGCTGCTCTCATGCATCCGGGCAGAAAAATCTGGCACAGATATAACTAGTACTTTCGAGGAACCACATGCTAATTAAGTGCCTCCTTTCGGTGTTTGACAAAGAAAACTTGTACTACTAGCTACCATGAAAAGGCAATCGCAGTAAGTGATGCTTCCTACCATGACTAGACTCAAAGTTTTTTCGATTCCATTTAACTTCCCACTCAGGAAAGGGATCCCTTTTTGAAAGTTCAGAGAAATCATTCTGCCGTAGATTTTGTAACGTAAGCATTGTTCATGTATGGTAATTGTAAGTGACTCATCACTGTTAAGGTTATCGATTGATGGCTAGGAAAAACTTTGAAAGAAAGATCCAGGAAGCTCCACTTTAAACCATGGCCCTCGATGTTGGATGCTTGCCTGCGCATCTATTTGATTATATGATCAGTGCACATGGACACAGATATCGTAGTGGAAGATTGGAAAAGAAAAAGCTCTCTCATATTAATTTTCCGACTGAGTGGCCGCCTCCTAGCCCATAAAACTATCATCACAATTACGCCCAGAGGGATAAATGTTTCAATTCAGTTTGCATTTCCCTTCAAATTAATCTACTTTCTCAGATCATGTAAATTGATTTGCATTCGTGGCAAATATATTATCAGTATCAACGACAGGGAGATTCGGAATTGGATTTTCATAATTTCTTCACTTGTGCTTTGAATGTCCCTTGCGTTCTCCAAGGGATGAAACTGGCTATATTTTTTATTTGGATTTTTTAATATGTTCTTCGGTCAACAAAAGTTACTTAGGCACTAACACTGGCTTGAAAAGGTTCTTAGGAACAATAAGACAGGTACATTAAGGTTTAAAGAAGGGCTAATTGCACTTTGCTCCCTTGAACTTGACCCTTTATCACACTTTGCCTCTTTGAACTTTAAATATATTCACTTTGCCCCCTTCATTGATTAAGTCAAATGTCAATGATGAATTTTTCATCCAAAAATTTAACAAAATAGAATAATGCTATACTGTTAATCAGAATATGAAATATTTTATTAGAAAAATATAAAAATTCATATGATTTTAAAAAAATTAAAAAAATAAAAGATGGTATAATAGCAAAGAATTGAAAATTTTTATTGTGACAAAAAAAGAATTTAAAAATTCATAAACCATCTGCACAAGTTTTCATCGCTTACCTTTCTTCTTTTAATTTGTAAATGGATTAGTTTTAATAATATTCATTTACTTTGTAGCTTTTACAAGATTTTCATGAGTCAATAAGATGCTATTTGGTAATTTTATACCACATTCATACCTTGCTTTGCATTTTACACTTTTAAAAAAAATAAAAATTCTCTAAATGTGGTTTTCAATATATTTTTATTTTTAATCATGTTTTTATCTCATATAAAACATATTAAAAAGTGCTACAATAAAAAAATATACGCAGATAATTTTTATTTTAAATGCACTATTTAATATTATTTTATTTATAACAAGAATTGCTACGATATTGAGATAAACACATTGAGTTACTTATACTTCTTTTATGTGAACTATCTAATTCATTTTAGTGCTAAAACGTCAAAATGCATAGTGTAATTGTGTTTAAATACATTTGTTAACTATTAAAGAAATATATATATATATATATTATGTTACAATTATTGTGTGTATTTAAGAATCAGTTAGGGATATTTTGATCATAAAAAATATAACTCCATCTTAATCTCATCAAAAAGTTGACCACAGGAGGTAAAGTGTATATGTTTGGAGTTTAGGGGGGCAAAGTGTTATAATGGTTTAAGTTCAGGGGGCAAAGTGTAGTTAACCCTTTAAAGTAAGAGAATAATTGTCGTTGCCTGTGTCCGTCGTTTATTGCGGCGACTTTTCCATATGATGCTTATATTTTCACTATTTTATTAGTAGTGGTGCAAGAAATTAATATCTAATTCATTGTAAATACCTGTTTAGGACAACCATAATTATCCCGCGTTGATGCCACCATATTAACGCCTACAAATGTTTCTCATGTCAAACCAAGATTACGAAGCTCTATTCAGTTCTGAATTTACAGAAAAAAACCAATGGGGAAAAATGAAAACCATCTTGTTTTGCAATTTGTTTAGTCCGCCTGTCCTTTTGATTGAGAGGCAATTTTCACCCTATGTCCCCAGAATTTTCTTTACGTGCCCAAATACTCAGTTCAGAAAATACTCAGGTTGTCAAGATTTCTCTATACAAAACTTATGCTATCTCTGTATCACTTAATTCATCCCTTTCCAAAATTTTGAATTTAAATCATCTCAAAACAAAATAATAATAATTATTATTATTATTCTTATCTGCCAACTCAGGACGCAAGTGCATAGGATTACGTAGCTGATCATATGTCCCACGTTATCATTATTTGGTTATAAAAGGTGCTTTGCTTGATCTAATAATGGTTAATTGAAGGTTCGGAGCAAAATTCACCACTAATTAAATAAATGCTGGAGATAAAGTACTTTTGTCCTGCGTCTTTTTTTTTTGGTCTGTTACGAGGTCCGACTAATCCCACTCCGGCCCGGGAAAAGAGGTCACATCCCCCCGAACACGTTAACCACGGGACCCTTGCGGGCACTGGACATCAGGTCGTAAGGAGGTTTACTGAGACCAACCGAGCTACCCATAAGGGACGAACCACAATTGTGGCAAATTAGTGGGAGGCGCACCAATGCCTTAGTTCTTTCCCATTTCATCTCTTTCTTTCCTCAGCCCCCTAAGGGCCCGCACAAAAGTCCCTACAGCTTATGGGGCGAGCAGGGCTGCTGGGTGAAGAAAACTTTCTTAGTAGGTTTATGCTCCAAATTATCCAAGGCTTCAGCCATAAACTTCAGACACGAAGTGCGAAATTTTTTACTGCTTTTAGCAAATTTTTTTGGACTGCATCTTTGGCTTTTGAAGCATTAAACTCAAATAGTTGTGGATCTCACTAAGAAGATGTTCATGCGTTGATCACACGTACTCTACAATGCACGACAAAGTTCAGACACCGTTCTATGAATTGCAAACTCTCTCAAATATTGGGACATTTCAAATTGGTAAACAAGAATTGCAGGCCTGCCGTAGGGATATATCGATCTAGATCTTGTTAGTAAAGTTAATGTATAGCTTGACCATGTCTTGTGTGGTTGATAATTGAGGTGAGATCGAACCATGCATATGGATAGCACGCTTGAAGTGATTTTTTTTAACTTCCATTGTTACAGTAGTACTCAATCAATCTATTTTTTCCAGTAAATATGATCTTACATTAAACTCAATTAAAGAGTTAAGATTGGCAAAATTGTTAGGAAATTTAGTTTGCTAGGAAAGAAAGATTCTTGCTCAAATACAATGCATCTTACGGAGCAAGAGAACAAAATAACGCTATCCCTAGCAAGAAGTGACTTCACGGGCTTTATTTTTCGCAATACGCATCACTCCATGCAACCCATGCAAGAAGCCACTAATGTTAAATTTGATGAAATTTAAATGTGTTCAATGACTAGTTAAATAAAATGTGACACAGAGATGTAATTGTAGAGCACAGTATCGTAGATGTAAAGCAGACTGGCAAAAGATACGATTGAAAATGGAAAGAGATCTAGAAGAGTGGAGGGAACACTCGACGTGCGATATTATAAAAGTTCATGGTTGGTACATTGGCATAAATCGAAAAAATGGTGGATTAATGTTTCGACGGAATTCATGGCCGACCAAGCTATTGTGTCCCCCAATTTGGCTGCGTGTGCTTCGTAGGTCAAAGG